CAATGCAACATCACTTCCTCTGTCAATGTATCCTATCCAAGGACCGTCTCTGTAAGATTATGGACCCAAAGACATCCCAAATGCACTGAATGATCACACATTGTGCATCATCTAAAAATGTGATTAACATCTCTTTTAGGGGCTGCTTCTGCTAATCAGAGCTGGATGAAGGACCATATGCACACTGGTGCGGGAAAGTAGGACTCCTTGGGCTGGCTGTGGTACAAACAACACTTCATCCATTCATTTAATAAACCCCATACTCTTCCCTGTCTTGGGGTGGAGGTAGATTAATGAAAGACACAGCACAGCCTTGGTCTCTGCTCTCAAAGAGCCATAGTTTTGTGGGAAATGAACACAAATAAACAGAAAATTTAGAAGAAGCATATCTACTACTACTACTATTATTATTGACTACTTATTATCTGGAAAACATTTTTTATGTATAACTCGAATGATATTCTCACAACAAACTAGAGACTATTTCCTAATTTTCCCAATGAACCTATAGAGATTCACAGATTTTACAGAACTTTTACAGAGAATGTGCAACCTATAAGGGATAATCTTAACAGCACAAGATTTTGAGTCCATTTCTGGATTTAAATACATGTTGAAGAGCAATGCTATGAGACGAACAGGGAGATGTGACGGTATATAGCAATTTTACTTAATACAGGGAGTGAGGAGGGGAAGGATAGAAAAAGACTTCCTAATTCAGATCTCAAAGAGGGAGAAACCCTGTGCCAGGCACAGGTAATGATATGGGTAAAGATCTAGAAACAAGAGAAAGCATAGCACGCTAGAGAAACTAAAGATGATTTAATCTGGATAGAACATGAAGTTAAGAAAAAGAGAGGTAGCAAGAAATAAGAATAGAAAGCAAGACAGGGGCCAGATTATGCAGAGTTGTGAAACCAAGATACAGAGTTTGGATTTGACTGTAAGAGTGACAAGAGACTGTAAATACATAGAAGGGTTTCAAAAAGGAGGCTGATGCCGAAATAGTTTTGTTGCAGTAACATCGTAGAGGTTGGAACGTGCTTACAAGAAAACGTCATGGAAGCAAAGAGGAAGGGGAGCACAGAAAGAAAACTATGACATCAGTTCACAAAGCTTCCTCCCTTCTGATTCTCAAATCCAGCCAAGCACCCAGGATCTGCCACATTTTTAACCAGATGAATCCCGAACCCCTCTGGCCACTCACTGCAGACGGGTTGGAGAAGCACAGAACGTCAGATGTGCAGTGAATAATCCCAGTCTTCCACAGTCACCCTTCGATTTTAGGAATCCTAACAGGGCTGCTCCATAATTGAGCCACATTGTGAGTATGAGCATCATTACACATTCATCATCTTCTGTGTATTATTTGCATAACACCTCCCAATTAAAGGACAAGTTTTTACTATGAAAGTCATGGGAAGAGGTATTTGCATTTCACTCTCCTTTGTATTTCCTCTGACTGGTAAAGTTTCTGGCAAAATTGTTGGATGCTCAATAAATGTTTGTGGAATCAAATGAATGTAAAAAAAAGGGAAAAAAATTTCATTTTATTTTCAAAGCAATTATTTAAATAAAGAGGCAAAGCAATTTAGAAAACTAGGCCCAGGGACCTAAAATCTTATCTACAATAAATGCAAAGCCCTTGAGTTTCCCTAAGTATGTATTCAAATTTAGCATCCAACATAGGAACTAAGACTTAGTAAAGAGGCTGATGGAAGAAAAGATGGGCAGATGATGGATAGATGGATGGCTAATAGATGAATAATAGATGGATCATAGATGCCAATTATCTTATACTCAGACATCACTGCTCTCAGAATCAGAGTAAGATTCCTGATCTTCAGTATCACCCATATCCCTCTCACAGTGGTGAATACTGATTGTCAGAAAAAAAATACAAACTACTTTCCCATCCTGTCACAAGGATCCCCCAGGACCAGAAGTAATCGTAGGAAAGTAGAGCTTAATGGAGATACATTCTTCTTTGTGAGTACCTATTTTAATACCAAATTATGACTCAGTTACCATAGAAGACCAGAGTGGGTCATTCTGCCTACTTCTTCCTCTAGAATGAGATGGGACCTGGGACTGAGTAAACTACAGGGGAAATTGCTTCCTCATATGAAAATCAGATAGCTCTGGCATCAGAATTTATTTTGAACTTCCACTCTATCCAGAAGAACATCATGGGAGAATCTCTCCAATTTCTTCTCTTCCCCTTGAGAAGTATTCCTGGGGAGAAAATCCGCATATTTAAGAACCCAAAGGGTTAACAGGGATCACTGCAACATGAATCTCTCTCACTTGCTGATCCCCATTTTTCATGAAC